GACGCGCAAGAACTTCTTAAGTTATCTTCTGTTCCATTTTTGTCGTGTTGTCATAGGAGAAATGAAGTGCGTCAAGACTAAACGGGGAGTTTTCGTTGATGAGCTTGGGTCGTCACTCTTCAAGAGAATCAGACGCTGTGAGTCATGAAATGGATCACTCTATTGCTTGCACGTGTTTGCGAGGAAATAAATAACATTCTGTAGTAGTTGTAATGATAAGGAATATTTCGAGCACGTTATGGTGCTACCTGTCTACCGTTCTCCTTCTTACCCCTCTCTGTGGTTTTTTGTTCTGGTTCTCTGTTTGTAGGCCAACCCATACATTTGTTTCAAAATAAGTCTCGTAGATTTGAAAGTTTTTTTATACTTTGATTTAATCTATCATTAAAAATTGTATTCATTACACTTTGGCTTTGGTTCTGCATAATACTGACTTTGCCTCCATTCGTTATAGTTTTGTTTTGTTTTTTTTTTTTCTACACAGACGCCACAAGCATGGCTGACAATCCAAATTCTGGTATCAAGTATGGTAGGTTAAATAAGAGCTCAATTGATAAACTAATGTTCGAGAGCTGATTCCATTTTCACAGGAACGTACAATAACGTATATTTTCCATTAATTATTTTTATACCAGATTTTCCATCCGATGTTTTGTCTTTTTGTTTAGTTATACTATTATATCTCTGGCCCTTAGCCTATTTGGAAGTAGCTCTAATGTACCATATCCACCATTTCCTTCCACTTAGTTTAGGGTGGATGGATTAACTTTTCCTAAACTCTCATCGGGTAAATTCAGAGCGCTCAAAATCAACTTTCCCCCCACAGTTATAAATTTTGTGTATGTTTTCAAATCTTATACACCCGGTTCGGTCTCTTCAGGCTAGTTAGGTTGATTGGCATTAAAACGAAATCTCACTTTTCTGTTTATGTTGACCTTTGATGAAGGTGGTGAAAATTGTGCTCCTGGCAATGCTGTCAACGGAACTCGTGCTATGTTTCCTACCGAGCTAGGGATAGTCTTCCATGAATCAAAGGGCAAGCGCAAGGGAAGATATAAAGGGATTGTAACGTGGAAAGCTCTGCAAAGTACGTACAAAGTCGATAACCTAATTTTTATATGAAGAGTTATGCATAACATCAAATAGGCAGCGATCTCTTAATGAGAGATGAAAAAAATGAAACATTACAATCATGTTTCAATCTCAAGGTAACAAAAAGCTTCTCAGCTCTTCGATTTCGTGGGCTTTTTGCAACTTTGGCAGTTATTTTTCCTGTTTCCTTTACCTGTTTCACCGAATATGGCCGAAAGGCCGTCATGTGAATAGGCGGTGGTGGGATAAAAAAACATTATTTTCTCCCGGTAAACGATAACATGCTTATGTCTTAAATAATTTTGGAAATTTATTCACCCATTTGTCTGCTTGTTTAGTCTTTTCTTCATTTTTTGTTTAACTTCCTGATAGATGAGAGTGTGGATTGGACCGGGATATAAGATACTCATTCTATCCACGTCTGCGCCTCACCAGATAGAATGCGATGTGATTCCTAAGGTGAGATAAAGCACAAGTAAAAAGTGGAGAGAATAACTGTTAAGTAAACAGCTACATTCAGCCAACTCATCAGTCAGTTGTGTCCCGCAGAATATATATTTCACAACTTCTCTGAGAAGTTGTCGTTCCTGATACATTGTACAGACATGCACTTCTAATCCATAGTGTAGTGTTCTTTCCACGTTATTAAAGTATCATTCAATAGCGAAAGTACACTTTATTTTCAGAATGTCACTCACTACAGCATAACTAATTCATTTAGAGAGGATTCCAGGGTATACGTTATGGTGAGTTTCACTGTTCAAATAACCGGTGCGCCCAAATTGATACGGCTTTCCAGAATTTTATTTAAGTTATGTATATTGTTTTTAAAGTTATCTTAAGAAGTATTTCACGTTGAACCGTTAAGCCAAGAGTAGGAGAAACGTGCTCTCAGCAGGACTCCCGCATAGGCATAGAGCGAAAGGGAATTAATTCCCAACCCCTTCGTCTGCTTTCAGTCGTTTTGCTCTCTCGAATCCTAAACCTCAGCCAGACTCCCACGGAGGAAAAAGGAAGGTGAAGGAAGAGAAAATGTGGATACCTTAAATAGAAAATCACAATAGCCCACTGCACGCAACACGTGGCTTAACACTTTCGTTGCTATTTTGATGTATTTTGGATTATCAAAATCGTGACTCTCATGGGCAGTACAAACTTGACCCCTCCTCTTCAGGAACATTTCATCAGAGATGCTGTTTCTTTTTACCAAGATGTTTGTTTTCA